TGTATTGTTTTTACTAATTGTGAATAACGAATAAGCATCATTTAAAATGGAATACAATCAATGCATGAAACATGAAAAACAAACATTTCTAAGATGTGTGAGTAAAACAAAACATTTTTATGGTGAACATTATTTACAAAGTGTCTATTAAATTTATTTATTTATTATATTCACTTAGGCTAATGGCATGGCTTGGAATAGTGGTATCATCTTGTTAGTAAGAGATCTTTTGCTTCAAATGCTACATATTTGCGCTGATCCTGTAGGTTTGTTGGGTTGGAGGAGAGTTGAATAATTAATATTAAACAATGAATAATTCACATTTATTATTAATACATATGCTGAAGAATTCTTTATGCCACTCCAGTCTAACCTAGACTTTTCCCTTTCCTCCCCATCACCTTTTTTCTCACAGTCTATTTGTGAAACACTGTTGTTTTAAGCTTTAATATACAGTGTGGATCTAGACCTTCAGGGTATCAAAATGATTTTATTCCTCTGTTCTTTCCTGCTCTTCCTCCTGTGTCTCCTTCCTCCAGAACATTTACACTTCCTTTTCCTCCACAGCTTTATCTTCATATGCTGCTCTGTCCTGCCTGCTGTCTCTTAATTAGCTGTAAAGCTACTATTTACTACTTTGTGTACGTGAATGTGTAAAACCATAGCTGCTGTATATGCGTGTCTATATGTATTTGTGACCTTGTGTCCTTGTTTTTGTTACTGTGAGAATCACTTGATAGTGTTGCCTTAGCTGTATTTTCTTAGCTAAACAGGAGCTTGCTGAAAACATTTGCCTCAAGTTTTACTATTTTATGTACTCTGAACTTCTAACTTGTATTTCAAGTGGCAGTTTAGCTTTACTTTGCTGTTAAGTGAACATCACCATTCCCTTGACAAAAGGCCAGTGGGAGTGTTCCATAGCCTTTTGGATTATTGCACAAAATAAGCTCTGTGACAAACATAGGTTTATGACACTTACACATTTTGTTCAGCAACATAATCTTCACAACTGACGCTCACTTTTATGATTTTTGAAGCCCAAATCCAATCAGCAGACGCACAAAGCGTCACCACTCCAGCTTCCAGCTTGTAATATGATTTATAGTGCTTATGTCTTCTACAAAATCCTTTCCTCTTAGTGTGACCTGATCTAGCTAGTGATCATGGCTATGCCAGTACGAATAGTTTGCAAGTGCGTGAGTTTAACAATAACAAGGTTGTAAAGGCGGACTAGTGAGTAGATGAGTCTCCGTGTGATGATGTAAAATCCCAGACAGCCTCTGTAGTCTCATGTAGCCACTTGTTAGCAGCCTCCTTTTTTAAGACATGTAAAAGCATAAAAAAATCACCAGTGGTGTATTTACTGATACTATATTTTATTCCATAGAAAAAAAAGTGACATTTTTTGGCCTTTGTCCAAAGACCTTTAAACCATTGGCTTCAGGGCGAGGGAACCAGAACTGCAAAAATGCTCTCACAGTGCTGGGTGTTTGGACTCGTTACAACACGACTCTTGATCTACAGTGTAGATAGAAACAAAGAAAACATCACTGATGAGTAGGGGTTTTCATATCTTGGTAGAGTGCTCTACACATCAGTGGTTCTGTAAAAAGTTGAGCATCATATGGTGTTGTCAGTTGTTAGTGCACGTTTACACTGTTAAACAATAGGGTGTTCCTACTTTTCCCACTTCAGCATGAGTCTGTTTGACACTAGGCCTATCTGTGATAGAGCCTCTGATGTTAGTTTTCAATTGCTTTTGCTTCCCCCTGAGTCTTTTTTCTTTGTATTTTCATTATTACTTTATATCTGACATTCTTCTTTCTCCCCTCTGCACTTTGCAATCACATCTCTCTGCTATTTATTGTGCAGTACAGTGTGTAGCCTACATGTATGTTTGGGGAAAATGAAAATCCCTAGCTGTGGTATGTTTGGGGAAAATGAAAATCCCTACACATGTACACATTTGAGCCATTTTGAGGAAAGTGTGTGCAAAATTTTGTACTTCTTTTTTTTTTGCAGATTAACTTTGAGTGTGTAAAGTTTCAGATTTAGAGATGGAAGTAATGATATTAGATAGCAAAGCTGCTGACTGCCATATGGCTCCTGACACCCGGGGCAGTAAATCTCCTACCATCATCCACTTTGCCAGACATGTGATTGCTTTTTTTCCCCTAGTAAACACTGAAAACTGTAATTCTTAGTACACTTAGACGTGTTAGCCTGTTTTTGAGGTGGAAAAACGGTGAACAGTGTAAAAAATTTACAGTATACAATCCATGAATGTTTAACTTTTTTGTGTTGTTTTCAGCACCAGTGAGAGAAACTCTCCAAACCTGCAACAGCAACAGCTTCTTGATACCTTGTTTTCAAATGTTTATAAATGTTTTCAAGCACTTAACTCCAAGTCAGCACATCCATGGATTTACTCCTGCAGATTGTTGACTGCCTTCAGCTCCACTGCACCAGCACAGCCGTGCATATATAAATAGATAACTAATTGCAAATCAGTAATTAGGCAAAGCATCAAGCTGACATTAAGCCAAGTCTCAAACCTGTAACAGCTCCCAGTAAGGAGCGTCAAGTTACATAAAAATCTGTTTCGCCAGTGATTCTTCATGATGCATTTCTTCATATGCTACTAGTCAAATAGGGAAATGAATCAGTGTTAGTTTCCATTAAAGTGATTTGTGTCTCGTGTGAGTCTCTGGTGAAGGGGCGTAATGTTTTAAAGCTCATTTGATACCTAACAACCTCTTAATATTGAGCTATTTTTAGTGATTCTTGTTAGCCAGGTGGTCTGTTGAACAAAGATGGAGAGCAGGTGAGCTGCAGCTTAATTGTCTTATGTTTGATCGTGGTAATCAAATTGGCAAAGTTGATTACTTGACCAAGGGAAAAGTGAAAAAGAGAGCAGTTAAATGAAAGAAATATTTTCTACAATACTCATCTCACCTAATATGAATAGCATATCACACCATAATTCTCCAAAATGACTGTGAACCTTAGTGCATATAAACACAGTATATTACCATGGGTATTAAACTGTTACAGTGGGGCACCCCAGAGGCCCCCTCCTTTTAATTAATGCAGGACAAACCAAATTCTGTGTGTGTGTGATATGGACCAAAAATCATATCCCAGTATTTTTAGGCTGAATGGTGATACATGATATACACTCACTGGCCACTTTATTAGGTACACCCTGTACAATTGTATGCAATTCAGCGCAAACACATCCACCTTAGCATCTGTGTTTATGAAGCTCAAAATGTTTGTTTTTGGTGAAATTGCCATAAATGTATAAATTCAATTAGATGTTTATTGTTGTGGTGTTGTACCGGACTACTTCATATTAGAGATGTGTGTTTTTCCTCCCCAGCTACATACATGAGAGGGTGAGAATATTAGGAACATTATTAAGAACGGCTAGCCGGGGTCCCATCCAAGCCATGGAAAACAGCCCTCAGACCCAAAGACAAAAATATTATATATAGAGAGGAGTGTCCACATACTTCTGACTACATCATGTAATGGGAGCCTCTGAAAAGTGATATTGTACTGTCTACAGTCAAAGATTTTGCTGCTCAAGTTTCAGCCTGATTGGATGATAATTACATGGGTGATGAATGGTGTCCTTTTGTCCTCTGGGTTTGTACAGGTGTGGCTTTCACTTTATACCAGTCCGTTTCAGACTCTCTCTCTTTTGCTCTGTGTCTCTGCCTGCATCTGTTTCCCACTGCTTGTCTAAATTTTCATCTTAGCCTCCCTGTTAGATATTTGTTGAAAGCTTCATCAAGCACAGCCAGGGTTCAATTACAAGAGCCATCTCCCTCTTCTGCCTCTCTGCCATCCTTCCACACCAGTCATCATGTGTGCACAGTAACAAACAGGCATAAAAGATAAAAAAAAACACAGGCACATAGACATTCTGCTTGTCAGGCCATTGTCACAGCTGTCTCCCAACTACAACATGGCATCTGGAGGAGACACCTGTCACTCACTCTGGCAAACACAAGAGAAGGTAGCAGAGGAGGGAATGGAAGAGGAAAGCAGGGGAGGCAGTGAGGGGAGGAATGGGCCATATCATACTCAAAGGGAACGAGGAGCTCTTAAAACATGAAAGCCGAGGCTAGGGAAGACTGGCTCAGCATGGCCATGTGGGAGGGAAGGACAGCAGAGCAAGTGAGACCTTTAGCTAAAAACGGATGATGGGTATGACAGGGATCTTGTGCAAAGCAAAGCCTGTTATATAGTTAGATGTTTAAAGGTCTGTCTGCTCTGCACCATAACTTCCAATAAACTCCCAACTAATTCTGACCTTCTGTGAGAGGAGTCAGATAATCACATGCAAATTGATTACACATAACACACTTGCACTTGCAGAGAGAGAACATTTAGTCACACTAAAACACGTATTCTCTTGCGCATCAAGGTAAACACACGCAGGCCGCAGGTGCATACAGACACAATCAACCCTAATTAAGCAGCAGTGGCAGGATTTAACCAGAAAAAATAAACAAATTAAAGCAAGAGCAAAACAGGCTGAAAAAGGAGAGAAATAAGCATGAGATCAGAGTGCAGGGGGGAGACAGCTAGCTCAAACATCCAGTATAGCTTCTGCTCCTCTGTTGTTGGTAGTTGATTTAGCTTAGCATAATCCCAAAGATCATTTACCATTGCTCATTCAAATGGTGATAAATCTCTGGCAGAGTTAATGAGAGATTTTAAATGGCCTCAAAGACACAGCTGAAACATCTCTGCAGTATATAAGCCTCCTTTTTCATGCAATATACTCTACTACTTCACCATTACATTCATCTTCGTATTGGAGATAAATCAGGTCGTCAGTGCTGCCGGCTCTGATTTTCTGTGACCTAGGAGTAATCGTCAAAGTTTCTTTTATTTAGTGTAAAAACCCACTTCTTTGACCCCAAACAAAGCTTACAAAGAAATCACTGGCTGAATGGGCAGAGTAGCAGTAACAGCTGTTTCTGTAAACAAACATGATAGTAGATTCCTGCCTTGATCCTTGATTCTATCTGTTTGCAGAGCAGTGTAAGAACAAAACTGCTGGAGAGTTTACACATTAAAATTTATCAAAATACTGTTTTAAATGTATTACTTTGATTTTTTTTTGTGTTGTATCCATGTTTTCTTCCATGTACAATTTGGGACAAGCTTTAGAATTGTTATTGTGTTAATTATTCATGGCATATGTCTGAAGCAAAAATGACAAACAGATTCTATTTGCAGTTTTTTTTTTAAATGAGAATAAGTGTTTAGATTTTGACTGCTGGTCAGAGAGCACAGTTTGAAGACATTGTATTTTCCCACTAGTTTCTGAGATTTTATAGGTCAGGTATATAGGATTTTCAACACCTGGCTTTCAAACTTTGGATGTTGTCCTTGAACACAACATCATTTTGAAAATTGTCCTTGCTTGCAAACCTGCAGTGTCAGATAAATGGCAATGAAGAGCTCACTGGATAACCTGGCAGCTTGTCTCCCCCTACAGTTGCTGAGTGTTATTGAGTTGCACCCAGTTGTTGTAAATACTAGTTGCGCTTTCATCCCTGCTCCTCATAGACAGTGGTACATGTGCATTTGTTTATAAGATGAAGCTATTACTGAACCATGAAAGACGACAAAGTAATATTACAGGATTTATTTTAAATTTATTGTGGCATCAAAGATGAACAGTCATAAAGAATAATGGATTGTTAGTTTTACTGAAATGCTGCTTGTATTTTTGAAGGGTTTGAATGTGGATGTGTATAATGGAATGAAACGTTGTTGGACATGATATAGGCTCTTATTACACATAATTGGGAAGTGCAATTTATTACAAGATGGCTGAGATGGGTTTGTTAGGCTGCACAAAGACTGACAAAACTTTCTGGGCTCAGATTGATTAATTTATTTTGGTGATGGGGGTGGATGACTTTTTACACCTGGAAAAAAAAACGACATTTCTGTGAGGCGGGGTGACATCGACAGTGTTGGAGCCTACGTTAAAGTATTTCATAAATAACATTAACAGAGAAGTACACTCTGTTGTGGTGTTAGCAGATGTCTACAGCTAATGTCAGGGCAGTAGCTATTAGCAGTTAGTAACCCTGACAGGGTTATTTTTAGCTCTTGCCAATGAGTAAAACCCAGTCTGATATTTATTCTTGTCTGGTCTTTTGCTCTCCCCTTTCCGCTTCTTCTTGGCTGTTGCTGGGCTCTGGTGATGCTCTAGTTCTGGGGGTGTGTTGTGTGTGTGTGTGTGTGTGTTGTTTTTAAACACATTTTAGCTGGATAGATCATAGCCATATAAATGTAGGTCTATGGGACAGATGTCTTCTGACTATACGCTGTCCTGAGTACTGCTGCGTGTGTGCTTTAGTCCATGTCCTGTTGCACAGCTTGTTAATCACAGTAGGTGATTGCAGCAAGTTAGTAAGTCCAAGCTTTAGTCCAGACTCCTGAGGATTGGAGGACACATAGTACTCTTAATGTGCAACTGGAACACCGGCATCCTCACCAACAGACTACTGTGCTCTGAACGAGATGTAGCTGCCTTCTAATAGAGTTAGCTTGGTCTCATAAGGAGCACTCACTCATATTAACACTCTAATAAAAATGCAATAAAGGCCCAGGGTTTCGTCTCTGTATGTAAGAATACTGAGCTTGCAGAAGGGTCTGGTGCCATAAAGGAAAATGCAGCTATCATGTGAGGTGGGAGGGACGCTCACCCAAAGTTACATAGTGCAGTAACAGATGATCTGGGCACACAGTGGCAACAGGAGAGCTGCCATTCACCTTATTAGACATTGGTCTGCCATCAAAATGATTTTGAGGTTGTTATTTTAATGTGAAAAAGTTATGTATTGTGACTTTAAGCAAGCTGATGTTCATACAGAAGCATGAACATCATTGGTTGCCATCAGGATGGAGTTCGAAACCTTACGATATGGTTTAGTATAGAAAACAGCCATTGTTAAAACACTGAAGTCTTATAAAGTTTGTGTTATAATAAGAAACTGCTAACTCTTTAGCATCAGTATCTTCAGCACAGCTGTGTTCTCCACCTTTCTCCAGCAGGGAATTAACGTGCTTAAAGTTGAGAGAAAAATCAATGTTCATTATCATGAGGCACTTTCAGTGGAACTTCATCTGTTTAACAAATCTGAGATGACCTGCTTGAAAGCTATCTTCCAAGGTATTTCTAGGTATTTTTGTAATTAGCGTGGGGCCTGTGTGGTCTATTTTCCACTGCCTGATACTCTCAGTGGTCTGACTCTCTGCTGCACCCCCCTCGGCCCCTGGACCAACATCTTGACATCTGTTGAGCACACAACATACTGGCCCATTAAATTATACACCCACTCAACTCGGATCAGGGTGAGCGCATACCTGTCTGTGTGTGTGGAGGAAGGAGACAGAGAGGCAGAGACACTGTGTGTGTGTGTGTGTGTGTCAGAGAGGGAGAAAAATGCAAAAATAACCTCTAGCCTCTTTGCATGCAGTAATTGGGTCATTTGAAAGGCTAAGCTTATCTCAACACTAATCAAGCTCTAATTATACTCAGAAAAACTTTGCCCGCCTCTCCCTCCTATATACACACATCCACTGACTCTCCACATGCATAATCAAGTGATGCAGGTCACAGTTTTCCCTATTTAACTCCTACCTATTAGTGGCAGAAGGATGTGTACATGCATACTGTACTGCCGCCGCTGCTCTCCTTCTCGTCCTGCCTCACTGAAACTATGACGATAACACAGACAGACAGGGTGACGTGTCAGTGGGAAATAGTCCATGTTTAGACCTTGATAAGGAGGTGTTGAACCTTCTCCTCAGGCATCAAAAACTAATTCATTCAGGCACGCAAGGACATAGGAAGCTCCTTAATCAACACAGATACATAATGTTCACTGTAAACGTATTATAGATTTAAGAATGGCAATTTGCAGCACAAAGGTTTATTTTGGAATTAAGAGATACTCAGATGCACAGCCATTTGCATTATCTCACCTTTTTTCTTTTCACAGTATATTACCAGAAGTATTACGAGTATCTGAGCTGCAACAATTGCTCACCAGTTACCGTAAACGGGGCTCTCTGTTTGAGTCCTCTCAAACCCAAAAGCATAATGTTTAGGTTCATGGGAATGTAAAATCTAGGTGAAAATTCTGCAGGTATTCTGTTAAAAAAAAAGTGACTAAAAACGAGCAACAGTGGAAATGTACTCTTCAGAACAATAACACACAAACAAGCATGCATGCCGTCACTAATACATAGATGTACTGTATATGCCCAGTGCAGCAAATAGACATCAATCACAGGAAGCTCACAGCTGATTGACCCTGATCTGTCTGAAGACATCTGCTGAGATGGTCTGTATGAATGTGTGTGCGTGTGTGTTTCTGTATGTTTGCGTCAACACACTCCGCAGTAGTTGTTGCTGAGCGCTGGCTGCCCCCCTGTGTCTTGCCATCACTGGATCTGGAATGTTTTTTTGGCAGATATCCTCAGTGGACAGTGGCAAGAAATGAGCCTGTCCAAAAAGCCAATGAGAGGAAGAAGAAAAAGTGCAAGCTGGGGGCGAGCTGGTCCTTCTCTTCATTTGTCCAGTTCCCCCAGCACAAGGAAAATCTCTCTTCCTGTTCTTGTGACTAAATCATTCCCTTTTCTGTACACTGCAGGTATGAATCACCCTTTGTCACCCTCCTCCGCTCTCCTCCCTGTTGTTTGTTTAGCTTCCCATCTGTCTCTATTACAAAGACTGTTAAAAGTACATCAGGACTTATTATTGCATAAATCTTTCATAGCAGTGACTGTCTGTGTTCTTGCACCTTGTTTCCACAGTATTTGCTTCTGAGGCTCTCAGAGCGAGAAATTTCAGTCATGCTTGTAAATCAGAGGCGCGCAGATTGAAGGAAAACAAAAGAGGAAGGAGGCAGAAGGCGAATGGGTGAAATGAAGGGTTACATGTCCAAATATTCAAAATGACAAGCGCAAAGAGCGAATTCAGTGCAGCGACATGTCCGAGGGATCATCTGTCACCAGGCTGTTTTATCACATAACATGTTGTAACTGCAAACTCGCCTTTGACTGAGCCAGTCACAGGGGGTGGGGTGGGGGCTGGCATCAGTTCTTTCCATAAACGGGCTCCCCGTGGAGAATGATTTTAAGCACTATAGAACTGTCACCACTTGATGCAGTCGGTTTCGTTCCAAAATGAGTTATCCAGCAGCTGACAAATGCGAGACCTACAGTAACACAATGATTAATGACTTGAGAGCACAACTACATATACAGTATACTGTGCTGGAATGAAATTGCTGGATCAAGCCCCTCCATCTAAATCCAGGTTGTCAAACTGAACTGTTTCTAATAGCTTTCAACTGGCAGCAGTTCAGCTGTTTTCACAACACCATTAGCATGAGATTAGTGTAGCAAAGTGCTACACTTCCCCTTCAGCCTGAATTTTCTTGTTGACATTTTTCACACCATGTCACTGGAGGAAAATACATCCAGGTGGAATGACAGAGAAATGGCACAGAGGAGACATCAGTCAGGAAATATGAGGCCGGTGGAAGGAAGGGAAAGGATGTATGAGGTGAGAACAGAAGGAGGTGTCAGCTTTTCTCCATCAGCTAAAGAGAGATTGATGAAGCAGCATGGAAGGAAGAGCATGTCGGTGGAACTCCGTCGACCAGTCATCGGATCTGGCTACTCTGAAGGTTACTGGTTAAACAACGCCATCAGTCATGATGTTTGGCTTCTGTGAAAGTTAGACTCATCTGGAAATGTTTCATCTTCTTCTGTTTTCTATTTTGTTATAATGGCCCCTTTGTTTTCCTCTGTGGTTCCTGTGAGTTTGTGTTCTCTCTTTTTCTCACCTGTCACTTCATTTTGATCATGAATCTTTTTTGCTGTCCCAGTTTGGAGGTCCTGTTTTATTTTTAATGAGATAAGAATATAGAAGTTGTAAAATACTCACCGCCTGTAGGATTGAAACGTGACTCTGTAAAGTTTGTAGCCTGCTCCTCTCTGTAAGACCTGCCACAGATTTACCGAAGTTACACTGGATTTCAGTGGTGACTCAGCAAGAAAACAATTTGAACCAAACTGTAGATGCTCACTGTAAATCATAACATATCCTATTTGGACCTAGGAAGAGGCAATACACAACTTAAATTTTTGCTGTATTTTTGTTGTGAACAAACTATAAATGTAAACATCATAGTAAGAAAATAATACATTTTATGTAGCCTGGCCAAAGGAAGATTTCCATCCAGATGATAGGATATGGTGGGAAACTGTCCATCCATCCATTATCTGTACCGCTTATTCCTGTACTGCCTGTTAAAAGTGCCAAAAATGTTAGCATTTGATAGCTACAAGCTAGGCACCTCATCACTAAGGAAAGAGCTGCAGTAGCCTAGGTGCTGCATCAGTCTACAGATAGGCTACTTTTCCAAGAACACAACTCTCGAGCACTTTAAAATGAGTGGCCGCGTAGCTTAAAGCCTGTTTTAATTACAGGTATGGGTCGGGTCACGGCTCTTACATTAACGGGATGGGTCATGTTTGGATTTTATTTAGAGACAACTGTGGGCTAATGGGTGGGGGTCTAATACGCAGCTTTGCGAGTGCAGGCTTGCAAAATCAGACCTGTGCAGGACTGCCTGAGACAGCCCTTTAAAGGTGTATCATAAACTGAGGACTGGCCAGAATGTCCTCACTCCCATAGTATAAAAGTGAATTTGGTCCTGATGGTGTATAGCCATATGAGTACATACATATGCATGGACACAGGCTCTTCAACATGAGTAGTGATTCAGGATTTCAGACATTTTAATTGAGGCATTGTGACGCCACTGTCTCCTGCACCTGCAGCGAGTCATGGGGAGAGAAGCGTACCTCCAGTGCATTGTGTCCCTGATCTGTTCCAGCAGAGGAGCAACAGCGCCCATCACAACTCCAGAAATGGTTTGATTTTCTTTCTCAAGGCCACACACAGAAACATAAAAACATCCATTCATAGGCACACATGAACACACCCATACTAATATACACACATCAGTACGCTGCAGTGTAACCCCCGCAGACACACACACAACACTACATCCATGGTTATATGCTCAGAAGCCCGCACTGCTCCCACAAACTTGTCCTACTTGCATGCTTTCATAAACACATCATCCCACACACACACACACATATATTGTACATCACACTTAAACCTCTCTCACACACATACAGATGCACACACTGGTTGGAAATGAATTATGAATTCATAACTCTGGCTACAGCATATCCTCCTTCTCAACTCGGTACAGTATGTCCATCCACTGCATCCAGCTTCTCCTTGGCTACATAATCCTTTCAATTTCTCACTCATTTTGAGCCATCTTCCTCTGACCGCTCCCTTCACTCTGTCTCCAGTGCTTCTCCTTCTCTTCCTCCTCCTCTTCGTCCTCCATCTCCTCCTCCTCTACTCCTCTGACTGGGTTGACCTGTGCAGTGTGACTCTGAATTCTGATGCTTCATTTGTGAAGTGGTGCATTTCAGGATTTTTTTAAAAATGGGTGATGTGATGTGTCTGTATGTGCAAGACAGAATTAGTGGAAATTGATAGTGTGTGCGTGTGGATTTGTTTCTCTCTCTGTGTGTGAGATTCTTTAACTTTGTTTTTGAGCCTGATCATATGGAAAACTGCTGCATCTCTTTTTTGTTTAACACCCTTTTTGTGTTGGCAAATGACAAAACACTTGATCACAGCCTAAGTCGGTTGAACCTTCCTTCTGTTCCTCTTTGCTCACCATAATCATCTACATTGCTTCAATACAGCTGAACTCACAATGTGGTCATTCTCATAAACTACTTATTAAGTACAGGCAACCAGTATTTACTGTGCTGCTGCACCAAGGCATCAATGAAATATTCATTTTATGATTGCAAATGAATGACAACAGCTGTGCCATGTAATCAGTTATATTGACATTTAAAATGAGTGATCACGGAAAAGGTTAGAGGAGATAGAAATTTGGCTTTTTAACTTTACTGCCACACAGCTCCTGACTATGCACCATCATCATATTTCAAAGCATCTTCTTCCTATAATGAGGCGCCTAAGTTTTAATATTTAAACTTTATAGAAGCTGTTAGAGGATTAATCAATTATTCTGAAATTGTTCTCACTGTTGATTAATCATGTCAGTCATTTTCTGCCAAATGTTTAGTTTCAGCCGTGATGGTTAGTGCTGCCACCTCACAGCAAGAGGGTTCCGTGTTCGAGCTTGGGCCGACCCGGGGCCTTTCTGTGTGGTGTTTGCATGTTGCCCCTGTGCCTGTGTTGGTTCTCTTCGGGTGCTCTGGCTTCCTCCCAGTCTAAAGACAGGCAGCTTCTCTCCCTCAACTGTGGTTCAGTGGGTAGAGCAGACGTCTCCCAACTGGAGGGTCGGAGGCTCAAATCACGGTGCCTGCAGTCCACGTGTCGAAGTGTCCTTGGGCAAGACCCCGATGGTTAGAGCCATCGGTTGAGTTGGCGCCGCAGATGGCTGCCTCGGTTCTGTACCAGAAACAAATTCCTTGTGTGTAACATACTTGGCCAAATAAAGGTGATTATCCTTATGCAGCTTAAGTTGATTGGTGGATCTAAAGTGTCAGCCCTGTGATAGACTTGTGACCTGTCCAAAGCGTACCCTGCCTCTCAATCAGTTCAGCTGGGATTGGCTCCAGCACCCCCCACAGCCCTC